TATTTGAATTTAAAAAGTGTACGATGAATGGATGTTTGAGCTTTCAATCTTGTTTTAAATAAATTTCTAACTTATGAGATAGTTTTTAAAGTTCAAGAACCTATTGGATACAAAATTAAAAGTTCACCTACTTGGTTAGACATTTTTTAAAGTATAGGGACCCATTAAACACAATGTTGAAAGTTTAGCCATCTATTAGATACTCCGTAAAGTTCATAAATTTATTAAATAAAACTCTTAAAGTTTAGGAATGAAACCTGTAACTATTAACCATAGTGAAATTATTAGCACTTCCACTTTGTGAGTACATACATATATACACATATATGCCCCGAGAAAATCGGAGGGCAAGTGAGACCGCGATTCGATATAATCGAGGTCGGAGGGGAGAGGGAACCTCAAAGGGCACCCAACAACATCAACATCAACTTCCCGTATTAGATCGTCTTCTTTAAAGTTACAACATAAATTAAGACCCCGACAAAGCAAAACAAAATTAGAAAAGAACAACAAATGGGTAAGGAGGAGAGGAGAAAGGTGCCAAGGAGGAGAGGGGAAATGTTCTTGTGCCCTGGACCCAACCCGAAAATGAACAAAGAGTTTTTTTCTTTTTTTAATACAATAACATGTAAGATTGAAATTCAAACTCACGACTTTTTGGTCGGAGATATGCATCTTAAGTTCAAAGTTGTGAGTATATATTTATTGTTCTAGCCTTTGTCAAATGTTTTTTAGTTGAGTATACGACATTTTATTGYTAAGTTAACAGTGAAATTATCAATGTATTAATACTATTCATTCAATGTTTGGAATGTTCGAACTCTCAAAATTTATTAATTTTTTAAAGTACAACATATAGAGTGAGAAATCAAACTTACAACATTTTGATTGTGGATATATGTCAATTACGGTTAAGTTATCTAAAGCCTTTCCGTTTGCATTCAAAAGTTTTGATCATGGTTGAATGAAGGTTGATTACTTTATACCACAAGTTTAAATAATTTCTTTTTATCTGCTCAGATGGTTAAAAGGGGGCACCAAACCATCTCTCTAGAAGATATTTGATCCAACGAGGGGAGAGAGATTTTTTGTTGTTTTCTTTTTCTTTTGAATTCGATGGTTACGTAATGAAGCATAAAATCATCGATAAASTTGAAAATGATTATAAAATGTCTTATCTATTGAACTAGGTTTGAATTGACGATTTTTTTCATTTTAAAAAAATAATAAATAGTTGTCAAATTTTTAATGTTGCTCGGAACAAAATTCTCGAGAAATAATATTATTTTCAAATAGAAATGAAGCTTTAAGGGGAGGGCCGCAATTTCTCTCTTCTTTATTCGTAGCACTAGATTACATGTGACATTGTGAATCATAGCTATGAAAAGGAAACTTTATAGAGTTTTAAGCCTTCTATATAAAAAGATTATATAGCCCTRTACTTTCAAGATATATGTATCTTTTTGGTATAGAGATTTAATGATTAATATTATTATATATAGTTTTCCTTTTTTTAGTCTTTTATAAATCCTCCCCCAAAAAGTCCTTTCTTTTTTTTTTTTTTTCCTTTTTTCTCGTTTCAATGCTTCATCTCTTTCTCCTGTCTAGCTTTTTTTAGAGGGCCAATATTAGGATAGATAAGGACAAAAAGGGGAAAAAATTTAGAAGGAAGAAGAAAAGTGAGAGATTTTTTTTAGTTCAATTATTTCATTAACGAGTGTCTTCCACTTAATTMTGTTGGAATTTATAAGTAAAGTGAGAGATTAATATAAATATGAATAATCATATGCAACAATATTTTAGTRTATATATATATAATATTTAAAAGAAATTAAATTACATATACATATATAGAAGGAATTTAGACCCATATGGAAAACACTAGTAGGTTGACCAGATGCATCAATAATACTCTTTATTAAATAAAATTCTATAATTATCAAATAATGCTATATTTATTTAGAATTAGAATAATTACTATTTTGTAACTAAAATTAGTCATTTACAACAACTTCTATTTAAAATTTCACAACATTCAATGTCAAACCTTGGTAGAAGAGATTGAGGATGATGAATTTGAAAAGTAAAATCATTAAATATTTATAGGGTTAATAAGTCTATATCTATATTTTATAGCCCACATGACCCTTAATTATTTTATTTTCTTAACAAAATTATTTGAACTCAAAAAATATATTTAAGTTAATTGAATGTTTTCAGTTGAACATTTATTGAAATTGAACTTCAAAAATCTATTTCAAGTGGTTTTAACTTTTTTCTTATTTTACTAACATAATCTTGTTACTAAAAAAAGATGTTGAAGAGTTATAATTGAAAATCTAGCAAATTTTTTCTTTTTTCTTTTTTTTTTAAATCCTCTTTGGCTATTTTGAATTTATTGCTATCCTTTGACCCAACCAATCCCTTTTATTCCTTTTAATTATTCAATGTACAATTGCCAAAGCTTTTTGGCATGTGATAGTGCCAAAGTAAAAAAGGCACTAAGGAATCCAAGGCCATGAATCACTCACTTCAATTTTAATTTATTGTTTTTTTTTTTACTGAAAAGTTAAAATTTTGAACCGATTTTCCTAAAGTTTTTTTTTTCTCTCAACTTTAGATACAAATTACTTTAGTTTGTTAGTCGGAATGTCAGCATGTTAGACAATGGTAAGGTTTTTTTATATTGAGTGAAAGGTAAAACGAGAATCCATGGGACGTTMATTTTTAGAGGTCCATTAAGAATGTCTCTTAAAACGAGTAGAATAATAGGGTATTTTCAAATATAAATAGAACGATCTAAAGGGATATGCAATCTAAAGAGACGATGGTCGTATCTCTGTGATGAATGTAGTATTGAAATTCGGTTCATTAAGAAAGAGATCAAGAGACCACACGAATCATGTTGAATTGATGACCTTCGCTTAGATTCAAGTATTTATTCATTATAAAAATTTGAAACTTAGCCTAATATATATCATTTTGAATACTTGTTAATCATCCGGCACATTCATGTCCAAACTTTTATTGATGATTTATATAAAAAAAAAAATTAATAACAAGGATCCAAATGTTTTTTTTTTATACATTTTGTTGAACAATGGGACAAAATATCGAAAGTTTAGAAACTAAAATTAATAAGCATAGAAAGGTACATTTATGATCTCGATGATTTGACTAAATTTCAATTTAACTTCATGATTTAGTCAAACCTCTAATCCATACAATTTTTTTACAAATATAGTAATGAGCTAATATGGTCTATTTTGCTATTACATTAGAGTTCATAAAAGACTCAAAAAAAAAAGAGAAAGATTTTCGAGGGGTAGGATTTAACCTAGCGCAACTAATACTAAAACTTAAAAAAATTATATATGGACGCTAAATTAAAATTAAGCTCAAACAATAAAAACCAAATTCGTTGTTTAACTTTTAATTAACTTCTAAAATATTGATTTTAATCCTTCAACGAACTACCATTAAATTTCATGTATAGTCCACGCAATTTTTTTTTTTTTAGTAATTGAAAATTTTATGTGGTATGATTTGTTGACTATATATCATATCTATACTATTACTTTTAGTATAGGAACCAGTGGATTCTAACTAACGAATCAAAAATGAAAATGGACTAAAATTTTTAAAATGATCCAAAAAAGTAAAGTGAAAAAGGAGAGTAACCAAAATCATCCTAAATAAAAACTTAAAATTGAGAAGTTCTGTCAATGTCCAATTAATACATATATTTTGAAAAAAATTTATTTGGCTATAAAGCTTCAATTTTACGTCAATATATCTATCAGTTGAATGATTATAAAACCAAATGTCAACTTGAAAATTAATATGTCACATGCCAACTCGAGCATAGTTGAAGGATTGTGTGGTTAGTACATCTTACCATTTATCTAGAGTTCTCTATAATTTATGTATAAGTCTTTTGTACTTTGAAAATCATAAGTCGTGTTTAAGTGGTTTGGTCTAGATTTTGGCTACTTACTAAAATTGAAACGAAATGATCTTTTTCGTTTCTCAATTGAAAAGAGATCGTGTCTTGACTTAATTAAGGTATTAGTCTTTGTTTAACAACAAACTAAGATCACACTCAAGAGGATTAGCTCAAGAAAAAACACTTCAAGTAATGGATGAGCGCCTATCACATAAAGATTAGACTTTGATAAAGTGGAATTCAAGTTGATAGTTAAATCCTCCCCCTCAAAGAGAGCCCTTTCCTATTGTTGTTAGTGGTGAACTATTTCCTATTTGATATTTTTCAGAGGCGTGTAGTGTAAAGAAAAGGAGGCATGGAAAGAAGGTTCTCGAGAGACTAATAGAAGAGTCAAGTGAACTATCAACTAACGCAAAACAGAGCTAATATCCATATTTTAATCTTTAACTAGAGGAAGAAAATTGATTAAAGCTAGATTATCTCCTACGGTACACTGCATGATAGATGCTCTAAAATAGTAAAGAAAGTCTCAATCATTATTGAATGAAAGTAAGGAAACATCACGAGCTTATAGCAACTTAAAAAAAAAGTTATTTATCGAGAGTTGTGACAAGTGATTAAAAGGTCAGAATTTTGAATTCCTACCACCCACATGTTGATCTAAAAAATCTTTTAGTGCAATAAGTGGGGATGAGATGATTCGAACTTATGATATCTTAATTAAAATCATATACCAATAATTACTGCTGAGCTAAACTTGGATTTGCTGAGCTAAACTTGGATTGGCTAGTAAATTTTTAAGTAGATAGCAAAATTTATAATTTAACCTAAATAAAAATATTGAAAAGAAAAAGAAAAGATTGATTGAATTATTAAAAAAAGAAAAGATGTAAACTTTTAACATGGTCCAATGAACGTGTGAGAGCCAACACCATGATGGCGCGTAAGACAAAGTTTCTGCTTGTAAAGACTTACCTTCGTCCCCTTCTCTGCTGTAATCCATATATTCCTCTTCCCTCTTCCCTCTTCCCTCTTCCCTCTTCCCTCTTCCCTCCATTTTCATTTCCCCTTCTGACATTATTATTTATTTCCATGGTTTTTTCTTTCAAAATTAAAAAAGTCTGATGATTTTTCCCTGCAAAAATACTCTCTCTTTAGTCAAAAGCACATTGGATTTGGGACCCTCCACCATCACTCTTCATTTCCTAATCACGGATTCACCCATTATTATAATCCCACAACCCCCCAAAATTCAACTGTTCGAACACGAATCCCTGTCAAGTTTGTGAATTATCCAACTCTACAGCAAAAACCCAACTCCATGAACTCACAATTGAGAGGGAAATTTTCGTTAAAATTGGAAACAGGACGATGAAATGAGGTGCCAGTCTTCGATTTCTCTGTTTTTATACCATCAAATCCAATTTTCTAGGAGACCCATTTGCACAAACCACTGAAAAATGCCCTCTAGACCTCTAGCTTCCAGCCCCGCCGCCGCCGCTGCCGGAGACTCGCCGCCGGTTTTCTTGTCCAGAACGAAGGTCTTGTTCTTGGCCCTTACCATCTCCGCCTCCGTCGTCATCTTCTTCTCCCTCCTCTATTTCCTGTACCATCTCTGGCATTCCTTTGTCGACCGAGCCAAAACCCTTCCCTTCGATTCCAGTGCTCCTCTCAAGCTCCATCGATTCTCTTACAGAGAACTCAAAAGGGCCACCAACCATTTCGATTCCGCCAACATAATCGGCAAGGGGGGCTCCGGGACTGTGTTCAGAGGAGTCTTGAGAGATGGGAAATCGATCGCCATTAAGCGATTGGACTCGATTTCTCTCGAAACAGAGAGAGAGTTCCAAAACGAATTGCAGATTCTTGGTGGGTTGAGATCCCCATTTTTGGTGACCCTTTTGGGGTACTGCGTCGAGAAGAACAAACGAGTCCTCGTTTATGAGTATATGCCCAATAGAAGCCTTCAGGAGTCGCTCTTCTCAGATGGGTATGGCGGATTGTGCTGGGAAAGAAGGTTCGAGATCATTTTAGACGTTTCCAGAGCCTTGGAGTTTCTCCATCTTGGGTGTGATCCACCAGTCATCCATGGCGATATCAAGCCCAGTAATGTGCTTCTTGATTTGGAGCACAGGGCCAAGATTTCGGACTTTGGGTTGTCGAGAATCAAAGTTGAAGGCGAATTTGGGGTTGATTTGTTCAGCCAGGAGCTGTGGAAGAGCCAAGACTATTCTGGGACTTTGGCTACTGAAACTCCAGCCATTGGCACTCCAGTGGAGAGCAACACTGAGGTAGATTTTGCTCTTGCTTTGCAGGCTTCTTCTTCTTCTAAAAACAGTAGAACCTGTTATAATGTTAAGGCCTTGAATCTGAATTCTCTGAGTTATAATGCCAATATTTCAAATGAGGGGGATGGGAAACAGGGGAGTGGGAAAGGGAAGGAGGTTTCCAGTTTGGATGTTAATGGAGATGATTGGAGTAATCGTTTTGTTCCTTATGACTGTGGGATTGAACATGGTAAGGAGTTGAATTCTTCGGCTTCTTTGAGTGTTGTTGGGGATGGAGGGAATGGTAAACAATGGGGGAAGGATTGGTGGTGGCGACAGGACGGGAGCGGCGAGTTGTGTAGTAAAGATTATGTTATGGAGTGGATTGGAAGCCAGATTTACCCAACAACAAACCCTGATTGGGATGAGGAGAGTAAGAACAACCCTGAGAAAACCAATTGCAATTGTTCTGTTCCATTGGAGAATTTGGATGGCGTGAACGGTGGTTCGAAGTTGTTCGAAAATTGTCCACCTGAGTTGGACTGTAAAGAGTCGAAAACTAGGAATAACAAGAAGAAACAGAAGAAGATGAGGGAATGGTGGAAGGAGGAGAACTTTGCTGAGATAAGCAGGAAAAGCAACAAGGCAAAGAATGTAGAGGCCGCAGCCTGCAGCAAATGGAACAAAAGCCTACAACTGCCTCATTTCGGTTTGGGGAAACGGTTCTACTTCCTTCGACGAAAGCGCTCAGGACAGCAGAACTCGAACCAATCCGACCCCAACGGCGAGTTCAGCTTCAGAAGGGGTTGGAAGAAGAAGAACAGCCAATCCATAGGCAGTGACATGTGTAGTGGAGATTTGTACAGCAGAGAACTCAGCAGCACAACCAGCATGAGAGGGACTCTTTGTTATGTAGCACCGGAATATGGTGGGTGTGGATTTCTGATGGAGAAGGCTGATATATACAGTTTGGGAGTCCTAATCCTCGTGATAGTCTCAGGAAGAAGACCGTTGCACGTTCTGGCATCGCCGATGAAGCTCGAGAAGGCAAACCTTATAAGCTGGTGCAGGCACTTGGCACAGTCGGGGAACATCTTGGAGCTCGTGGACGAGCGGTTGAAAGATGAGTACAACAAGGAGCAAGCAAGTTTATGCATAAACTTGGCTTTAATTTGTTTGCAGAAGATGCCAGAAATGAGGCCAGAAATAGGAGAGATTGTGAAGATTTTGAAAGGAGAAATGGAGCTTCCACAAATCCCATTTGAGTTTTCTCCTTCTCCACCTTCAAAATGGTTCAGCAGATCAAGAAGAAAACAGAAACTCAATACTGAGTAGAGCCTCTGTTTTTTTTTTCTTTTTAATAATCATGAGTCCGAGCTTTGCTCCCCTATATCCAGGGGCACTCGCGCCCACTCCAAAGTTTGGACTCGGGAGACTCAAGGATTTTTGGTATTAAGCTCCCCAGAATGTTCGAATCTTAGACCTCTAAGCCAATATGATTATGAGAACTTAAGCCCTTGTCAACTGAACGGCCGTAAAGGTTCCGTTCTCTTGATTTTACCTTATTTTTTCTCCCCTTCCCTTTGGCTGGAAATCTAGCGTGATGATTCTTAACTTTGTGCTCTCTCTATTGGAAATATGATGTTAAATTAGTGTTGAAAATTTCTGTTTAGTTTTATTCCCATCCTTCACTGAGCAGAAAGTTCACTTCTCGATGAAATGAAGTAGAAAATTTTGGTCATTATAAACTTGTACTTATCCAATTAATTTTTTTAATGAGAAATGTGGTATTTTTTATAAAGTTTCCTATCTGGATTTTCAAATTATAATCATTCAAATCTATTGAAAATGAAGAGAACAATTAATTGAAATATTATCATCTAGACTTTTTCTTTCTATTAATTAAGTGAGATGATGATGAAAGATAATGATGGTTTGATATGGACGTCTAAGCCCTCAAGATTATCTAAAAACTAGCCCTTGATTTTGGGCAAATTTGACTTTTCATAATACGGTGGGGTGCATAGAAAAACCGATGAACCAAATTGAACCGATTCTTCGGATGATATTGAAAGTTTTTAGCTGGGTTTAAGCACTTTTTAAACATCTTTTAAACTACTAAATCTTTTCATTAGATTCAATTATTTTCTTAATTTAGTTAGAGCTTTATGACTTGTGTAGCTTGATTAGTTAGGTAGTGCATTAATGTTATAATTAGGTATAATAAATAAATTAACTAGTTAATAACTAAGTCAATTCTTTTATATATATATATATTATATTATATTAAAACTTACTAAATATTTACAATGTACCATGTTTTTCTTTTAAACATTACATCGCAAAAAGAAGTCGGTAGAGATTCAAACCTATAACTACTAGTAATATGCTCAAATCGTATATTCACTCAATTTCACTTATATGGTTTTTGGAGCATTTTAAATAATTTGGAAAAGAGGTTTCTTTAGAATATATTTTTTTATTACCCAGAAGTCGACAGTGGATTGGTTGTGGAGGTGGGACTGTTGCTGCCTGATAGAGGCAGAAGCCGGAGCCACCGAAGTCTATCTGTGTCGAGTGTGTCGATTGAAAGAGGAGGAGAGACAACTCAAATGCCAGCACAAACACAAAGATCGAAAGAGTCGTGTCATTCAAAATCGAATTTGGCCGAAGATCCATTGCTCTATTTTGCAGCCCTTTGGCCTTTATGTCCTAATACATGGGGTATTATCGAATTTGGCCGAAGATCCATTGCTCTATTTTGCAGCCCTTTGGCCTTTATGTCCTAATACATGGGGTATTTACGTCCATATGGCTCGATCCATCCAAGCTATTCCTTGGGAACCAGGTTTCTTCTTCTTCTTTTTAGTATATGAAATAAACAAAAAAAAATTAGATACCAATTATAAAAAGAATATTTTTCTAAACATAGGGGCATGGTTTTTCATTATCTAAAATTGAAAAGTATTTGTTAAAGAACAAAAAGGTAGAAGAAAAATGGCTCCTTTTGAGTTTGAATTTTGGTTGATTGTTGGATGAGATGAGATGGGCCAATTGCCTTTCCTTTTCAATCCTAAAAAGAAGCAACCACTTGTGGTAAAAGGTGAGCCATGTTCTTGTATATACTTCAAGCATTGGCAACCACTTTACCATCCTATAACCCTATAAACATCTTTTTTCCTTTTTCTTTTATTTCCTTTTATCTTAAAAAGGCTTCTAACAAAAGGGTGAAAAAAAAAATTAAAGAGAAAAAAATGTTTGGATTGACTCGAAAGATCAGTTTCAAAAGTTATACAAATCTAAGCTTTTGAAATTCATTTTTTAAGCCTAGTTAAGTGGGTGATATCGATTATTTTTTTTGAAGTCGAAGGTTCAATCTTTCACTCTTATAGTTTTTGTACTAAAAAAGAACTCAATCCTCTACATTTGAAATCCGAATATCTAATCTTTTGAAATAATATATAATATTTGAACCAAATGAACTAGCTTTTTTTTTTCTTACTTATTCATTTGTACTATCCTAAACTCATGCATTAAATTCAATTTATAGGAATATTCTCTTAAATTTCTTACCATGCTTTGAAAAGGTTGTGCATGTAGTGAATTTATGAGCTTTTTATAATGGCCAATTGAGTTCCATCCAACAAAGGAATCTACGAAAGAGACAACATAGGTATCAACCTTTGTCGTCATCCGACTACTACACCAACCACAATTAAACGCTGTCGTATAATATGTCTTTCTTTGACAGAATTTCGTGTCAAAGGGAATGAATGCTTTAACAGCTATTCCCTCCCTTTCTCAAAGAAAAAAATTTCTAGTACTATAGAAATACCCTATTTCTTTTATTCTCAATATAATTTCTTTTATATATGTAACTATATTTTTTTTAGTATCGAGGATTTTTCCTTGAATTCGTATTCCTAGTCGGATAATATGAACAATGATTCAAATTTCAACTCTTATGGATGAATTTAAAATGAAATGGATTCTATTGTTTGACTTTTAATTTTATATTATATTTTTCCGTTGTTAAGATGGTCGGATTTTACAAAGTTGGTAGAATTTTATGGTAATTGCCAATTTAATTTTGTTATATTTTAATTTTGACATTTCGCATAAAAAATCAGAATTAAAATGCTATATTAGTGTTTTTTTTTTTTTGAAATTCAACAATTGTGGTGCCCACCTAATTTTCATTTATTTTCGAGCTTCGTGTATCAAAGGAGAAGAAAAATGGGTTTAGAGTTGTCACCCCGGCATAGGGTCTTAGTACTCAAAAATTTGGGTAGACATCCAAATAAATTTTTTTAGTCAAGTTCATTTCAAATCCTTCCCGTATCAAATCAAATAGATAATTTAAAATTATTTTCAATCTTTTAGATAACAGAATTTAAAATCGTTTCTTGAACCATCTTGATTCGATCAACTATCAAAATTCTCCCCATTGAAGAAATGAATAAACCAATTCTAAGATCCGTATAATAAGACGTCAAAAAGAACCTCTTCTTAATCGCCATAAAGAGTCGAAATCTTACCTCTATACAAGCAAACTGTGAATAAGGTGGTTAAAATATCTCTCAATCATTCTTAATTCCACGAGTGAAAAAAGTAGATTTATTAAGACAACAAGATCTCTTCTCCGTACTTTCGTAATGATGTGATATTTATTCATGTTAGACATAAATCTACGATCGAATTCTTGTTATAAGCTCGTTCCAACCCTCAATTCTCTTTAAAATAAAGGAATAATACAATAACTCTATCGAGCCTCCCACTCTTGGCTATCCTAATTCAAGTATGAGGCTCTTGCCTTTATCCCTTCTCTCCCGCTTAGGGACAAATTCCTTAACTAATTATTAATATACAATTACTATTAGTGTCTCGAAATTCCTATCAAATGAAAATCAGGTAGATAAATAGCTCATATACAGTAGTACTATCGGAATAAATAATATCATTAAATAGAAAAATCTACTAAAGTGCACATATATACAGGTAAATTAACTATTCAAATGATGCATCTTCTCTAGGTTGTTTTTTGTGAGATTTCAATCTCATCATACTCCCTTTTTTATGATGAAAAATCTTACCTTTCTTCTTCTGTCTCACCACTTGCTGCCTTGCTTCTTCAATGCTATCTACCTCTGGTTCCTTCAGGAGCAGTTTAATCTTTGGATGCGCGATAAATCCGCGGGATATCATTTCGTCATAGAATTCTCTGGCCTGTGTTAACTGACCACACGTCGCTAGGCCTTGTATCAAGACTGAGTAATGTTCAGAATCAGGTGATACGTCGTATCGCTTCATTACTTCCCATGTTTTCAATGCATAGTCTGGTTGCTCTGATTCAAATGACTTGTTAAGCATTATAACAAAGGTAGCCTCAGAAGGACCTAAACCATCTTTGCTCATCTGCTTGAGAAGTTCAAAGCCCCTTTCGAAACCTGCACCCTGAATAAAAGAATGGTAGGTTTCGGTCGTTGGACCGATTCTCTCCTCCATCATCATGGTCAGTACATCTCTTGCTTCATCGAGCTTTCCCGCCTCGCACAGAGGACGTATAAGCGAGTTGTACGAAGTGGAGTCCGGTTGCAAACCTACTTCCTTTACTTTCTCAAGGATTTTGAGAGCTTCACTGAAACAATTCTCCCTGGTCAGCACATAGGCTAAAGAGTTATAGACTTCAAGGCTTGGAACCCAATTCCTTTTCTTCATCTCATCATAGAGTCTAAGCGAGTCGAAAAGGTTGCCAGTTTTCGAAAAACAGGAAATCATGTGGGTGTAAGAAGCTGAATCTGGCACAATACAACATTTAGACATTTCTCTCCAGATTCTCTTTGCTTCAAACACATCAACAGATACATTGCACCAACCATTAAGAATAATGTTAAAGCTTTCTGTCTCCAAGGGAAAAAGCTTCTTGTTCACAAGCATAAACTCTTCGGCCTCTTCGATGTTCCCGTATTTACAGAGGGAATCGAGCAGGGCATGGAATGCCTCTCGATCCGGAGTCAATCTGAACTTCTCCATCATATGGAATGTCTTAATGGCCTTACTTGCCTCGTTTGCATATGCATACCTTAAACCAGGAAGAGCCTTAAAATTAGCAGTTTGCAAATTTCAAAATAAAGCAAGAGCTAAGAAAAATAACTATGGATGTTAATCTCCCTTAATTTTCCCATTTATTACTTACACCAGTGAATAACCAATTAACAGAATGCATCTATAAAGCCTATTCCACACGTCTCACAGAAATATAGTTAATCATCCTTCTATCTAAGAAAACTCACAAATTAAAAATGAAATGCTACTACTAATTCAACCAAAAGCTTCTTGCTCATGGGAAAACTAAAATACAACCCCAACTAGGCAGACATTAGTGTCTCCTAAGTTCATAGTTTAGAAAGACTTAAAAAAAAGACTCATATATATACAAGCTTACAGAAGCAAGTCAAAGTCATTCTCTCACAAACTTGCTCTCCACATCACTTCCCTGTATAAAATGTGTTTTCAACTTTTGGGAGAAAATTAGTGAAATACTTCCACTAAAAGCATGATTTTCATCTAATTTTAGAATTTCTTAAACCACTCTGGATTATAGAAAATTTTTAAAACAACTTTTAATTGGTCACTCTTCAAAATTTTAACCAAATACTACCAATTTTAACTAAGCCATCATAAGCATGCCAAACAGCAAACACACTAAAATCTAAATGCACATTACAAAATGGCATGTCAGAATGGCGAAAAAGGAATGTCTATGGAAAAGAAATATTACCTATCAATCATGATAAGCATTGCTTGCCTAGCATCAATCAAGGAACCCAGGAATTCTCTAATCAAACACCAAGCAGTACCGAATTTCTTATGGTTTCCCAACACCCAGATCATCAAGTTACAAGAACTTCCATCAACAGAGCCCCATTTCTCACCCCATTTGAAGGCCAGAAACGACTGTTTCCAATCATCCCTCAACACCCAAATTGCCGAATTCACCAAATCCGGATCTGCCTGGATTTCAACCTCCTCCAATGCAGTAATAGCCTCTTCTTCCGAGGGTGAACGGGCGGCCCGTTTGACCAATTCGAAGAATTGGCTACTACGCGTTTCGTCTGGATGGTGGTTTCGGAATCTTCCTCGAAGTGGGTGGTCAAGTTTTTGGGAGAAAAATGGAGGGGCTGAGAATCTACGAGCGGACAGAGAAGGCAGGAGAAGTGTTCGATGAAATGCCTGAGAGGGCGAGTCGGGGATGTGGAAATGGATGAGCTGAAGGAGTCGATGGAATGGCGATGGATAGTTTCTGCAGAGCCTTCTTGAAATGGCAGAAAGATATGCCATGGATTACCATGAAAACGAATGCAACATACAGAAGAATATGGCTGCTCGGTAGAATTTGGGGTACACAATTTGAACATCCAGAGCTTTATAGTGGGGAAAGTCGGATCCACGGAATTTGGATACATAACTAGGTCACATTAAAAGAGAGTTCAGAATTTTTTTTTCAACTTCTTAGAAAAAATTTTTAGTAAATTTGAACTCATTACGTTTTGATCCTAGATAAATACTTTAATCAATGTTCGTATCAGCTCTTAAAGAAAAATTAATGACTTTCCTACTCTAATTTTTTACTAACCTACTAAGAATGTAATATAAATTTATTATTGGTTAATTTTAATATTGATTTGACAAAGTTTTAGTTTTATGTTTTTTAAAATTAAACTTAAAAACATTACTTTCACTTATTTGTTATTTGTTTCGTTATATAGTTTTAATAATTATTTTCAAAATTCATATCAAATTTTGAAGAAAAGAAAATAGGTCTCAAAATATTGTCTCTGTTTTTTAAATTTGGATAACAATGGCCAAATATGTTATCAAAATTAGGAAAAATAGATAATGGTCAAATATGTTATCAAGATTAGGAAGAGTGAAAAACTTACTAATAAAATGGTATAAAAATGAACATAAATTTTAAAACTTCCAAATTTTTTTAGAAATCACAATACAAAAGCGAGTAAGATTAAATAAAAGTTGGTATAAAAAATAATTGATGGCATATGCTTATAAAAGAGACATTATTATTGTTTTTTTTTTATCGAATCTTATTTTAACTAATTCAAGGGATTTTATTCTTTTGCTTCTTCCATATAGATTCGAGTTTCAATTTCAATTTTTTTCATTTATTGTACTGAAAAAATAATATTGTTGAACTCTTTAATCTTTAAAATTAAGATCAAAATTTTATAAATTAATTAAAATAAATGTTAGGATTAAAGTTGTAATTTAACATTTTTATAATTAGGCTTAGGCAGGTACATAGAAGAAGGTAGATGGAGTCAATTTAGTCCCAAGTTTGGACACGAAAATCATCGTAACCAAACGCTCCCCAAAGGTTGGCTGAGCATTGAGCAATCAATCCGGAAGTGCAGGAGTTCCACAGACTATAGGCGGAAAAAATGGGCGGCGAGGGCAAAATCGGCGGTGCCAGTGGAGGAGGAGGAGGCGGCGGCGGAGGAGGAGCTGGTTTTAGATCGAGAATGGAGCACTTCTTGTACAGCGGCGACAAAAAGCACGTCGCGGCCGGCATCGCCGTCATTAGCATAATTTTCGGCATCCCTTGGGTCCTCATGAGTCGAGGTTCGTTATTTGTTTCCTTCACTAACTTTTGTATCTGTTACTCGACCTTTGTTTCTGGCTATACGTGGGAAAACGAAAACAGAACTGAAGTTTTCAAGTCATCGTTTTTGTTTTCTCGAGAATTGGAGAAGTGAAACCCTCTGTTGATTTTGCAATAAGAAGATTTCAGTTCTTGAATGGAGTTATATTCTAAACTTACTTCTTAATTTGGATTGCAATAGTGGACGTTTGGAAGTATGTTCACGTTTTCCAAGTGTAATTTTAGGGATTCAGAATCTAGGCAGTTTCAATAGGCTACGCGTATGCTTAATCTTGTTTGCCTCATGGCACTGACTGGGTTAGGTTTTGGAAATTGTAGGTTTCTCTGATTGGGTGCTCCTGTAATTTGGATTGAGAAACGGTAGCATATCAGGGCAATATCATTAAGGATTTTGATACTGATTTTTCAAACTTCAGAAAGCTTCCTCATAGAAGTAAAAAAAAGTGATGCCTTGGCGCTCTATGGGAGGTGCTTTACAACAACCTATTTGGGTGATCATGTCTTTAAAAAGTTGTTTCTCAGTTCACTTCTAGTTCGTTTTTGGTGGACTTGTTTTTAGCTCAATTGAAGCTCTTCTTTCTGATAGAATTATAGGTTAGGCTCTTGAATAGCAATTTCAGTAGAAGTCACCCAAAATACCTCTTAAAAATGGTTTGGGAATCATAGTATGAGAACTATCTTTCAGACCCCCTACTCAAGTAAAACTATTACAACTGTTCGTTTTTAGTGTTCGGATCTACACCCAATAGATCTATTTGCCTTTACCCTTATATATATATATATATATATATATATATATATATATATATTTATAAACAATGTGGTTCAATAGTTCTAAGTCTTTATTTGAATTGGATACGACTTCTAGGAGGTTGTAAATCTAAATGACGTATCGGTCTCACCCTTTAATTGTTTACAGGATCAAAACATCAGTCTCATCAAGATTACATGGAAAGAGCTGACAAAGCACGAAGCCAGAGACTCTCTTCAGGTTCATCTCAAGCTAAATGATTTTCTTTCTTTTTGTCTTTCTTCTGATAGAGGAGGTTCTTTGGAGCACTTGGTTGGCTTAAAAATTTTGTAATAGCTCCTTCTATATTTAGCATTTTTTCCCCTCCCTCTGCTGACATTAAACGGGACAAGCAAGTTATACTCACCAAGGTACACTTATGGTTATGCAATAAAGAACCGAATTTTTGTTCCTTTTTATACGATATTACGATCTAGTCCCTTTATACTCCCCTTTCTATCCTAGTTTTTGTCTTGACATGAATTTCATGGAACTGTTCACTTAGAGTGTGCTCAGAATCAAGATTTTAGTTGGATGTTTATAACTGAAAGACAACAATAAAGTTTCGAAGTAACAAACACTGAAGGACTTGATGATAATGTTTGTAGTTGTAGAAGATGTGTAGAGTGTATTAAGTTTTTCATCGGTTCATTCTGCAATATACATCTAACCATTTCTTTCATGCATTTCTATAATCTTTTCTTTTAGCTCCTCAAAGCTGCAGAATTTCGTCCTTGGTTTCCCTCATTTACCTGTACTGTTAAAGTAGTGATCTGGTCTGGAGATGTCAAATGTGGGACGGGGTGGGATGAGGGTTCGAACTTTCGTCGTTGGTCAAGACTTAGAATTATGTTTTATCATCAATCCAATCAGCGTTCAAATCTTGGAAAAGGTAATAGGTACATTATAGATTGAGCTATGCTTAGATAGACGTGGATAAATCTTCATTGAAGCTCATAGTTAAAACAGGTAATAGATACATTATAGATTGAGCTATACTTAGATAGGCGTGGATAAATCTTCATTGAAGCTCATAGTTATACTACATTGAAGCTCATAGTTATACATGTTGTACGAGAAGAGTAGTCTCGAGTTCTTGCTCCTTCCATCTGTTCTTCCCATAATACCGAACCTAGGTCACTTCTTTCTTTTATCAGCTTGTTGGCAGATTCGTATCTTGCAAAATTCACATCTCTCATAGTGTTTTCTTGGTCTTAAATTGTTCTTCACTATCAAATTTAAACCACAGGATTAATATACATTTTAGTCCCTTCTAGTTTTTTTAGTACAACATGTGGGATGGGAGATCGAACTCACAACCTCGTTGTTGGAGATATATGTCAATTACCATTGAGCTACGGTAGTCCCTTTTAGTATTTAATATTTATGATATAAATTTTTTTAAATATAGTTCCTACTATATTTAAAAAGTTTCAATTTAGTCTTTAATATTTTAACAAATTTTAATTTAATCTCTCACCATCAATAAATATTAAAAGTCACTAATAATAAACTTGCATGGTATAGTAGGAGTGAATTAGCAAAAATTTAGAGCAAGAAAAAAGGTAATCTATGGGAGAAAACTCGAAATTTCTATCAAAATATTCGAAACTATCTCTTTGGAGCACACTTGCGCTACCATTGTCTACTTAATGAGAATAGGAGCGAAGAAGAATCAAAATAGAAACAACTTGAAATGGAAATTTAAAATTTGGAATATGTTTTTTCCAGTCATGTTTACCAAAAGCAAACGAGATGTATTGCAGTAGTTTTTGGATTACTAGCATTTGAAATCAAAGTTAATTTAAATTAAATGTAGAACTCCTCGAAATAAAAATGCAATATTAAAAGAAATTGAAAAGAAGGGGATACGAGTTTAAAATGACAGCCCTATATTATTTGGAAATCATATTCTTACAAAAATCAATTTTTATTTTTGGTTTTTGCGTAGAACCAACAAATCAAATATTCATTTCCAGTAAACATCAATGATGAAAATAAAGGTACAATTTTTATCCTCTTGTTCTTCACAACTCAAGTTCATAGTCACATAGGCGAGAAGTTCAAAAATTAAACTTTTACTAATTATGAGTCATAACATTACACAATTAAAAGTTTGTTAAAGTGACCAATTCACTAGATTCACTTCAATTATCCATTACAAAAGACAAAAAATTTCAACTTCTCATACGTGAGAAAATGAAAAGCCATGGGGAATGAGAAAATTTGCTGGGATAGAGATAGAGATAAAATTGGCAAGACGTTTCACAAGAGAATTTTACTTTACAAAACAAGTTCAGTCTTTAACAAGCAATCGACTAATGGAAAATAAGTGCATTATCAAGGAAAATTTACTCACTGGAATCTTAAACTGATCGGCGAGCTTCATCGAATAACGGCACCAATGGCAACTAGGTCTGAGCCTGTGAGTCGTATACTTGTATCATCTGTCTATTCAGTCTTTGAAGAGCTTTCACTTGGACCAGGCGGTTGATTGGATGATGAAGGCTGCTCCTCAGGAGAAGTAGCACTTTGGTTAAAAGGTTTCTTAAACTGAACCAAGATCATAGTCATGTTGTCACATCCTTCACCACCAGCTGTAGGTGCCAAGCATCTGTCAAATACTCTCTCACAAACAACTGAGAGTTTACTTTCCTGCATATTTGACAAATTGGAATCAGTATAAATCTTTAACACGCAGTTCTTAACAAGAACTTACCGTTTTTAATTGATCTCTAATGTAGTCGACCAATTGTTGGCTGGACATGCAATCCCTGTAATAGAGAAGGAGAATGTCATCTTGCACGCACCTCAACTAACTAATTACTTTTTAAGTCCTAAATAAAAATTATTCTGAGTCTATTGGACTTTATATTTTGCCCCTAAAAGCAAAAAACTCAAAACTTACCAGATCCCATCACAGGCAAGAACAAGAAACTCATCGTCCTCGCAAAGCTCAACCTAATAATTTAAAAAGTTGCAATCATGAGAAAAAATGATGCGGTAAAAAATGATCATAAACTACCAGTTTATCTTCAATGAATCTTTATCTTCATTGAATGATCTAGCACAGCCTAACTGATGTTAATGTAAATTCTCAAAAATTTAATCATGAACTACCAGTTTGCTACATCTATATGAGCCTATCTTGAACTAAAAATAATGTTGTTAGCTGCATAAAAACGATAACGAAAGTACATATAATAACATTACACTCTGACTGAATTATTGAAGCCATTATAACACGTACAGTTGTTACATCAGGATTAGCAGTTACAATCTGCTTTTCTGCGGGCATGGTTTTATTCTGCTTAAATTCCATATCTCCTGTAATAGCAGGATTCTAAATCAATAATAATCAGAGAAGGAAGTAAATTCTCAATATGTATTGAGAATTCAAACATATGCATACCTATAGCTCGTGCCAAGTTGAGACTTCCATTGACACGACCTACTCGGATGAAACCACCGGCTTTCAGGATCCTGTCCTTCTCAACCTCAAGATCAGGCTTGTGATCTTTAGATAGATTATATGCCTGTGAAGAAGAAGTTAAGTGGAGCACTAGACGCCCATGAAATTTCTTGATTATTCAGATTATTTTCCATATTTTACGGTGTTTTTCATGACATTAACAAAAATCATATCCTTCTCCAAAAAAACAAACAAAAAAAAGTCATATTTGGGTATTACTACCAGAATTATTATATATCCACATATCTATCTACTTCTTCACTCACAACTAATTGTGTTTCAAGTGAGAAATGCATGGAGTAATCTGGTTAAGAAACAGTGGGACAGAAAATTGAGAGTTCCACATCTTTTCAATTAACATATTTAATTGCCTGCCTGTCCCTATTCACCTCTCTCTCCTTACTGAATGCCACAAGTCCAAACTCACATAGAACCAAAAAAATTTGAAAATATATTATACAACCAACAATAAAAGCCTGATAATAACTACATCTTGACAGATCTGATTGGTTATTGTCCTCAGACTTCTAATCACATCTTGACACCATCTAATTGGTTAATATTTTCAGAGTTTAATCGGGAAGATATAAGCAAGTGTAAATTGTAAGAGCATGTAAATCAATAGAGAAATCTCTTTTGACACATACCTGGCCCTTTCTGGAAATGACACAGCGCGAATCACCAGCATTTGCCACCACAAGTTGGTTACTTCTTATAATTGCAACACAAGCTGTGCTTCCAGCATTTGGTCCATGAAAGTCAGAGTGAGGTCCCTAGTTAGCAACATCACCTCCTCACTTTAATTGAATCCATGACCAATCATAAATGTATAATTGTTTCATAAAAAAAAAATTTAACCTAAGACTAACCCAAGTTACTAAGAAGTAATGCTAAAGAAATACAGTTAGTGAACTGCAAATTGCGTCCATCTGGACACAGAGGAAAGAGGAGGACTACCTCTTCTATAAACGCATGTCCACCTCAAAACAGAAAAGGAAAGAAAATCCACCATAGCTACTGGGAATTGTGCGTATAAATACCTCCTCCAGAGGCCAATCATCCACATGATTGTTAGCTTCATTACTCTTAGGAGACCATATAAGCCCTTCTATCATACCAGAAATCTTGTCCATTTTGTCTCCCAAAATAGCTAATTCTCTCCATCCTCTTTGTCCACGCATCATCTCATCCATTCTGCACCATTTTATAGTGGCAAAATATGAAGGCAGGCTACAGGCATGCAGTTTTGACACAAACAGGCCTTTCAATCATCAAAGCTGGAAGAAGGTTAAGTAAGAAGAACCACATCATATTGGAATTTAGAGACTTCACTCCCATTTTCTTTTACTTAATAGTTAATTATTCTTTTAACAAATGACCACACATCACTAGTACATCAAATGAAATTCACAACTAGAAAACTTTGGGCAGGCTATAACAGTAGAAACTAGAAATCACAAACAAACATAATGCACATGTTATTTAATCCCTGTCAGTGAAAGAAAGGAATTTCCCAACTGCTTAATCCAGGAAACGGGAAAATAGGAGACCACTGAGGATACCAGATACATAAAAGATTAAAAAAAAAAGGCCAGTGGATTATAACCTGAGAAATGCCTTCTGTACTGAACTGCCCAAATCTCCAGCCATGTATGATTCATGCTTGAGCACCTGTTGATGAAGATACTTGGCACAGAACTTGGACACTGCTTTACCTGCATTTCAATTGACCTTGATGAGAGGACAAAAAAAAAATCACAGAAGAGCAAGAACATTTTAATCAAGTATCACAAATCATTAATGGTAAAATGAGAGAGAGAGAGAGATGCTACTCAAATAACAAGTGCTAACCTCCATGGCCATCATAAACGCCAAAGAAAGAAGTTGATGTGTCCAAATCTGGATAGGCTGCATGCTGAAACTTACATAGGGTGAGATTGGAACAACCCATATTTAACAAACACACAATGCCAAAACGTAATAAATCTCAACAACTACTCCATTTAAAATGTGCACAATGCAGATCAATTTCAGAGACTTCAAAAGAAAGTTGTACTCCAATGTTAATGACATTCTCAATTTCAGAGGAACCATCCCCACAGCTAGTCACTATCTTTAAGTGATTCGAGAAGAAATGTAATCATTGTCCAGCAATGCATAGGATAAAGCCTCTTGCATTATGAAAAGTATAAAACTAATGTTCACTGTGCTCCATCCAATGGCATGTTTTGTCAATTGTAAAACTAAAGTTACAAATTTAAATTGCATTTAGATCTTCAGGTGCAAACTTTCTAATCCAATGTGCTGATAAAGAACACAGGTGACAGCACACAGTACCGCAACCAAAAGATAATCCGAAAGCAATTATTTATTAAGTATTGGGGGGTACCTCCTTTAATAGAAGTATACAATATGCATACATGGCAACATCCTCGAGATAATATAGTCTAAAGTAGGTTCATTCTATGTATTATCAATTTGCATGTGCCACAGTAAGCAGAGCATGATAAACAACTTAGCAATGACATGATGCAACTATAACATTAAAGGAAGCAATTACTGTGGACAGAACTCACCGCATCTTCCATGGTTGCACGCCACCCTTGCATAGATGATAGGCCATATCGAAGCCTGTTGTTCTCACCATCTTCTGATGCCTTTTCTGTTTTGGGGGAGCTCAGATATATCCCCATTTCCCAAGCTGGAATTAGAAAGGAAAAAAAATCCACGAATCACCAAAATATAACCCCCTAACAAAACCATTTGCAAGCAGTTATTAATACTATTTCTGTGGGGGAATGACGCTTCAACAATTTTTCCCTTTGAGCCCCCTTCAATGTGTTGACATTTCGGTAATATTTATTCCAAAGACATGTGTAGAGTTGGAATAAAATAATCAATAAATAGGTTGATCTTTGGCACAACAAATGGACACGTTGGGTCATGAAATCCCCAAAGTTACTCAACTTAATATCAGTACAGTACATGAAGTATTAAGTGATTCTTGAAGGCAACCAGCAAAGATAGTTGTTAATCCACCAAGAATCAAATTACCCACCCTAAATTAACAAAGGAACAGTCTAATCGGCAAAGATTAACAGAAGCAAAGAATCCATCACGTTTGAAATCCCCCCACCCCAATTCTGTTATCAAGAACTAAGTGGTTCGGGGTGGAACACATCCAAATGTTCATTTCTCACAACCACCCTCCTTATCTTCAAACTCCCCTTCTGGTTTCAAAACAAGCACACGATTCAAACAAAAGACAAAACAACAGACATCCATACTGGGCGGATACTCTCGCAAGGCAAGCTTACTTCGGTAACTCCCTTCGAAACAAATCGAAATCAAAATTCACGATGACCGATACACGATGCCTCCACAATTTCTCGGCAGACAAACGGATCATAAAAAGATTACAACAAAAACAAACTCCAAAGAAACAGAGATCGGAGGAATCGAAAAAAAAAAAATTATTTCCGGAATCAACTCAATCAGATACAGTACAAATAAAAAAAAAACGAAGAAACGAAGAGAAAAATTGAGAGCACGCCTCACCCGCCAAGCGCCTCGTTCACTAGTTTCAGCGGAGAGAGATCTGTCTTTCAGTGTGCTTTCTTTTTGGAAAAACTCTGATCCTTCAAGTTGATTTTTATGATATGATGATATATTCAATCAATGAGGACAGGAAATTTTCGATATTTTTTGAGTTGAAGAGAAGCGGGCGTGGCACGCGTCCTGCACGTGCGTTTATTCGCAGTTACATATGATGGGCCTCGCGGCCCACATACGAGGCCCAAAAACTCAGAAATCGGGCCATCCCTTCCACTTACGGCCTTTTCGAAATCACAGGCTCCGATCAGTTCGAGAATAACATAGAATTACCAAATTTTTCAGGTAACAAGACCCAACAAGTGGAAACCATACAAAATGGAGGGAAAACGACAATGCACAGATTCAAACACAAGCCAAAGCGAGCGTAGCTCAGCGGTAATTGACATATACCTCCAACCACAAGGTTGTGAGTTCGAATCCCCTCCCTGGTACGTTGTACTCAAAAAAAAAAATTATATATATATATATATAAACACAAGACTTCTTACCATGTTAAACATGAATAAATCACACTCAACTCAAAAACTTAGGTTGATAAGAGAAAAAAAAATCATATAATTTAAAAATAATATAAAATAATAAATATATGTCACGTCAGCATTCCGTTAATATAATTAATAGAAATTTACTATTTTCTAAATGTCAAATATCAAACTGTCACTTTGTGATAGACGAGGACCAAATAGAAATTTACTTTTATATTCATGGACAAAAATGTATTTTACCCAATTTATTTTTATCTTATCTGACGTTGACGATTTTTTTTCTTTTATATTGTATCTTAGTGTTTGGATAATAGAATTGTCAAATTATTGAAATTTTCAAATAATAAATGAGTTATTAAATAATATTTTTTTTAAATAAAAATGAATTCTATTAATGAGAAAACGAAATGTCACATGGGATTAAATAAGAAACAGTGAAATTCCCCATGAATGGAGTGGGAGAGGTTATCCAAAGTGGCAGCTCCAACTCATTTATTAACATTAAACAACGTGGCCCAACTCATTTATTAACATATTTTAGCCTCTCATTAAGGTCGTAGTTTTAGTAGCCAAAAGGTTAAAATTTTGTCACGTGCTGTTGGGATAATGGAGTCAAAATAAATGACTCATATTCTACGAAGAAAAAGATTTTCAACACTATTACAGATTTCAACAAGTAAATATTATAATATTATTTTCCGATAACGATTATGATATTTGGCTTAGTCCTTTTGTTGTTAAGATTTTATTTAAATATAATCTAGATAAAAGAGACATGAGTGGTAGTGGGTAGTGTATGTAAATAAGTTTGTATCTATGAATTTAGTTTCAATGGTGTAATTTTAGATAGTACTTATAAGCAAGATAGTCATTGTATAACGATATATTTAGTGAGATATCCATTGTAATATTCTCATTTGTACTCATGCTCTTGCAGTATGCCCCCTTTGGACAATACGACTTTCATAATACGCGAAGCAGCTGAGCGAGCGATAGCTATTCGATCGCTATATTCTTGCGATAGCGAAGGCGTGGTTGAGACTAACAAAGAAAGTCGATACGAAGGTTTAGATCGAAGATTTTCGCGAGACGGCCCATGAATTTTGAAAGTCGAGCGTGGGGGCTTGAAAAGACTTGATGTAATTCCAAGATTAGAGCCAACCTATATAATCCTTGTAATTTTGAGTTTTTTTCTATCCCATCGTTTATTCATTTATTAGTGTTACTTATTTATATGCTTTTAACCCGTGTAAAGGAACGATCAAATAGTTCTTGCCTCGAAGGCCTAAGCCACATAGCGTTGATTTCATTTATTAGCCCATCTGCTCGAGATAATTCAATAGCCATCTAATTTTATTTTTTATCTTCAATTTTCAAAAGTTTTTTATTTGTAATAGTTCTATTTCTGACCTTCCATAATCCCAGCACTTAATTACAAAAATTATATTCCTTTATATTATTTGATAATGAAAATAATATATTATATAAAATATATTCATCGAATATAGCTCAACGGTAATTGACCTCTTAGTACAAGGTTGTGAGATCGAATTCACTTTCCAACATGTCGTACTAAAAAAATCCATGAAAATTTTTATAATTTCACCATATTTTCTCCTACACAATTTAAAAAAAATAAATATAAAGTACCAAAACTAAAAATTGGCGAAATTATATATATAGAAAATAAATAACCATTAAAATATAAATACTTTAATCATTTTTAAGTTTACTACAATAAATATTTCGAGTCACAATTCAAATTTCTTGTATATTAATTGATGATATATGCTGTAATCATGAAAATTTTTATAATTTCACCATATTTTCTCCTACACAATTTAAAAAAAATAAATATAAAGTACCAAAACTAAAAATTGGCGAAATTATATATATAGAAAATAAATAACCATTAAAATGTAAATACTTTAATCATTTTTAAGTTTACTACAATAAATATTTCGAGTCACAATTCAAATTTCTTGTATATTAATTGATGATATATGCTGTAATCAATTATGTTAAGTGGACTTAAATTTATATATATATATATTTTTTAAATAATACTTGGCGATTTGGAAATGCACGTCATCGTAAGCAACTGGAAAAATAATAAAAGTCAAACAAACATAATAGAGACATTAATTGTTGATTTACGAACTAAAACATCAATGAGTGTGATTAGTCCTCTTTTTAGAAAAAGTAAAAATTATTAAATTGAAATGGATATTCACGTTTCTTCCACAAACGCGATATATATATATATATATATATATATTATATAGAAATCCCCACAAATCATAAAAAGAACCACTTGGTATCATATAGTTTATTTGTTTCCAAAATGTAAATGGTCCAAAATAACATAACTTATAATAAATAAGTGGGCAAAAATCATCCAACTTATAATAAATAAATGGGAGAGCCCCAAAAAAAAAAGTAAATGAATAAATGGTGTTGATGCTAATCGGAGGGTGCCCTCGGAGGTCGGCCTCGAACCCTTAAGCGGTTTTTTGGGTATCTACAAAGAGACGACCACTCTGACGTCCAAGTTAGTATTCGAGCTGAGTTTAATAGGTAAGCATCATACAGGTTTTTCATACCTGAAGTCAAGATCGAATGGTGTATTTATAACGATTGGTGGGCAGATATACGTCCCATCAGCGTATTTCCCTGCTCGACGAGGAACTTTGTTAGGGACCGCTGGTCGCTTGCAATGACCAGTCCAATCCATGCTCCATGGCACGCCATCGTACGGCTCCCCTACCTATTCGTCGTTGAGGCCGACGTGACAGGTCGGCTTTCCCGATATCGTCACACCCAGATCTGCCGCATGCAGACCCATCAACAAATGAAATCATTACACCTTATCATTTCTACTGTTAAGTTTATTTTCAATTGGAGTTTATTCCATTTTTATTCTTATCTCCTCATATTATATTAAATAAAAAAGAAAAATAATCTCTCTCTTTATTTTAAAAATATAAAAATTGAACTTTATTGTATTTAACCCTAAAAATGTCTACTTAATGTATGCGATGGTCTATTGACATGACACGTAAGTCAGAATCATACATCAATAGACGTTAATCTATTTTACTTTGTAACAAAAAATAAAATAAATGTCTTCCAGTATTAGCATAATAAATATATGTACATATATATACAGAGATATAACCATCATGAGTGGCTCATTGGTCTAAATGAACTAGGATTAATTGAAAGGGTATGAATTTAAACCTCATGATAGCCACCTACCTTAAGAATTAGTAATTCTCATATATTTCCTCTAAAAAATAACGTGTTTTGGAGGTGGATTTTCACACTTACAAGTGGCCTATGATGTTTGGATTTCAGATAATAATATGCATGGCAAGGTGCAACACTCCAATGTGAGTCAACGCCTTGTGTGGCCGAGCCGATCTGAGCGTTCTAGTATGTCGTTTTTGCTTCAGCAAGCCTGGTAGTCTTACCTCAGTTCAGTCCCATACTCCAACAAATTTTACGACAACATATCGAGGTTCACGGCGACTTTAAAGAGTCGTTGAAGCATTGTCGGGACGGTTGTCAAAGGAGTCGCCTATAAATAGACTCATCCTCCCCATTTCAAGGTACGCGATCAAACCAATTCTCTCTCGAGTTGACTTGAGTATTTGCTGATTTTAACGTCGGAGTTTCTACTCTGTTTTACAGGTCCTTTGCATGGCATCCAAAACTCATGGTTTAGCCCGTCCTTGTCGATCCGAAACTTGGAGACTTGGTCAAATTCTTGATCAAACTATTATTATTTTTCTACTAGAGATACATTGAAACCAAAGTAATAAATAATTAAGTGCATTAAGAAAATAACTTTGAGAGAGACATGAGTTTCATCTCATGTCAAATTCTCTTATCCTCTACTGATTCGCTCAGCATTGTGGACTAATAAATTTCTGTGACCATTGCAATGACTTTGAGCTTTATAAGTAGACCTTAAAATTAATTTATTTTTTAAACTTTTAACCACAATTTTTTCAGCCTCGTTTTATTGGTATGTTTTTATTGTTTTCTTTTTTTTTTTACCTGAATTTGAAAATGAATTTTGGATAGCATTATTTGAAAATTAGATCTTAAATCTAGAATTTGAAAAGGCAACGTGTTTGGCAATAGATTTTGAAAACAAAAAATATAGAAATTATAAAATAATTGTTTTTTTTAGAATTTAAATTTTGAAAAATATAAAATTGAAAGGTACTAATACTATTCTTCTGTTCCGTGTCCAGCTGTCAGGTTGCATGACTTTTTTGGGTTGTTTGGGTTTGTGGTGGAGAGGGAGGGAGTTTTATTTTTCTTTTTTATTTTTTCATTATAATTTTAATTCATGGTATATTGCGAATTAGGTAAAGAAACGAAAAATGATTTTTAATTATTTGTTTATAAACTTTTAAAGATAAGAATGAAGCTAGAAAAGAGAGAGACTTATGCTTTTTGAAATAGGGAAAAAATATATATATATAAGTAAAAGAAATTCACATGTCACGTCCGAATAATTTTAAAATTTTTATATTGAAAGATGAATTTAATTTATCTATAATTTCACTATTTTT